GCATATGGAGCAGAGGTCCATCAGTGGCTATTAGCCACAAGGTATAGATAGGGACTCTGGGGCAAGTGATGCTCTGTCATCTTGGTGCTTGGGGGGGTCAACAGTGGGAGGGCTTCTAATGTCCTGGCCCCACTGGTGGACCTCCTGATGGCACTGGTATTTCTGGCCACTGTGTGATACAGAGTGTTGGACTGGATGGGCCTTTGGCCTGATCCAACATTGGCGTCTCTTATGTTCTTATTGTGATTAGTATTGAAAAAAACAGACAAAAGAAAACAACAACACAGTAACGTGTTTTTCCAGAGAATGAGGATATGGTGGGTACAAAAATAAGAATAAAAGAGAAGTTGAATCAGGCCAATGGCCCATCCAGTCCAACACACGTAGCGGCCAAAAAACCAGGTGCCATCAGGAGGTCCACCAGCTGTGCAAGACTCCAGAAGCCCTCCCATTAATTTTCACAATACAAGAACTCGTGGGAACTCAATGAAATTGCTGAGCAGTCGGGTTAGAACAGATAAAAGGAAGTACTTCTTCACCCAAAGAGTGATTAATGCAAGAAATTCACTGCCACAGGAGGTGGTAGCGGCTACAAGCATGGATAGCTTCAAGAGGGAATTAGATAAACATATGGAGCAGAGGTCCATCAGTGGCTATTAGCCACAAGGTGTAGGTAGGAACTCTCAGTCTGGGGCAAGTGATGCTCTATATTCTTGGTGCTGGGGGGGGGGGCAACAGTGGGAGGGCTTCTAGTGTCCTGGGCCCACTAGTGGACCTCCTGATGGCACCTGGTATTTTTGGCCACTGTGTGACAGAGTGTTGGACTGGATGGGCCAACATTGGCTTCTCTTATGTTATTATATTTATAGTTATAGCATAGAGCCATTACAATCTCTGAAAAGATGTGCTCCGCAAACATTTTGACAGTCAATTTTTTAACATTCATTTGCTTATAGAGCGTTACCATAGGCTTCAACACTGTGATACACCCAAACTCAGCAGTTTAATGAAGTGATTAATGGGGAACAGGCACCAAATACTAACAAGAAACATTTAATTTGGCTGCAATCCTGAATCCACTTGTATGGCTTTTAATATGATTCACAGCTGTTGGATACACTGAAACTTTTCTATAAACACAGGAAACTTCACACTGGAGTTGCAATCCTGGAAAGATTTGAATTGAACAGGATTTCAAAAGTACCCAGAAGGGTTCAAATCTGGAGAGGTTTCCAAATAAGCCTTGATTATGCAAGGGAAAAAACAAGGGGAGAAGTATAGTAAGTTTCCATGAACTTTGCTGCCTGACAATATTCTGGCATAATTGACTTCATTAGCAGACAAGGCACTGAGGGTGGGCAATTCCATGGGTTCGTCATCAGCAGAGACCCACATGTGACCATTTCGTGCTATTTTGCTTCTCCATCTATGCAGGGACAAGACCTGAACCTGCAGAATTCAAATAAGCCCTATGCAATTTCATATATTCTTATTTTGTTCAGCTTTATTCCAATTGGGACACTGTCACAGAAATTCTGGGATGATTTTATGGCAGTAGTACAGAGTTCCCAGTCCGCAGTATTACCACCCAGTTTTCCTAGGTGAAAATGAGCAACCCATTCCTATTACCTGAAGTAAATATTGCAGTATGAGCCTCAGGTTGTGCTACAACAGTCATGGCAGTATACTGCAAGTGAGGCAGAGCTCTCCAGATTTGTTACAGCAAAATCCTCCTATAATAATTTGTTGCCCCTAACATATCCCCCTCCTCACCTCTGCTTCCACAGACTGTTTATTAAAAATAGCAGCACACCGCTTGAACTTGGAAGGAGATAATATATGCAACATCAGACTGCTTGGAACATCCCAGTCCAACACTACCTCTCTCTGCAACAAGCAGAGCAATTAACAGAAATGGGAGGAACTCAGAACCAGCTACTAAAGGACAATGGCTTGAATCCTATAAAGGAGTTCTGTGTAATCTCTGTCGTGGAATGTGCATCCTTTCCTGCTAAAATCCAGTTTGCGCAAGGGCCCATTGAAAATCACTGATCTTGTGGAAATGGAAGATTTAGCAGTAGAGGTAGCATGATCCACAGCAGAGAATATCTAGCAAGTACAAAACTAGCTAGGGTCCAAGCGGAAGCCAGTTCTGTGTAGTGGTCCCGAAAAAAGCTACTATCTTCATTACCAAGATGAAGCAATCTGGACTTTGATATTCAGGAGAAGAAAGGTGGATGTTCCCCCATCCTGTTCTCTCAGAAGCATAACAATCACCTGTGTTGACTCATTTGAAACCAACTGACAACCCACCCAGTTTCAGGGCAAGAGAGTCAGCATATTAGAATAGGTAAGAACTGTAATAGGTGATTATTAAGTGCATCTAGGAAAGACAGTAAATGGGAAACTGCATATTATGAAGAAACATTCTGAACATTTATACTTTAAAGAAATACTGAATACTATGCACCATGGTAACTAGAGCAAAAGAGATGAATCAATGAGCCATACTACCAAGTAAGCTTTTTTAGAACTGCAGCAAAAAGTTTTCCTTCATTATCCTCAATTGTTCTCAGACTCTTCCCCAGAAGAGCCATCCCCTTTGGCCTGGTATTTTGGTTGAGTTTTGATGTTGTCTGAACAAACCTCATAAGCTCTCCGATGTTCTGAGTAGGTCTCCGCATTTATTAACTCATCCCCAGCCAAATCTATAGCAACTACAGAATCATTCCGATACTTTTTACAGAGTTCTACTACTTCTGGTGACCAACCTGAAAAGAAAAGCACCAGATGTTAGTAACAAGGCATCTTTTTGGCACTCTCTAAAACCTTGCTTATATAAGTTTTTCAAGCAAAGGAAATATCTGTCATTGAAAATAATTTCATTTTCCATCTGTCAAGGCCCTCCCAGAAAAATCCAGATGTTGGAGACTGTCCACCAGTCTTTTCAGAAGTGACTTTTCTTCTGGGCACTGACACTGCAATAATAGTTACTAAAATCTCCAAAAGCACAGTTATAAAGTTATGCCATTTTGAAGTGAATACTTTATGGTCCCTACACAAACCTCACATTACAGTGCATTGTACTGGCTATATAGTGTGAAAAGATCACCTCACATCAAGACCAATGTTCCCTCTAAGCTGTGTAGTCTTGTGAGCAAAAATTCTACTTTGTGAGCTACTGGCATTAAAGCTGAGCGAGCGATTTGGCTGCTTCATAAATTAGCTTGCTCTGGAGCCATCCTTCCTGAGCTAAGGCAAAAACGTGTGAGCCGGAAGCTAAAAAACTGTGAGCTGGCTCACAACAACTCAGCTTAGAGGGAACTATGAACTGCACTTTCTGAACCAGTGCAGGGTTAGACTGCAAGGTTCAAGAGAAATATCAAAGAAGAAAATGGGTAGAAAGAGCAAAGATGTCTCATGTTGGTTGCATGCAGGGGTCATTTCCTGCAGGAGCGCACAGGAGCGGAGCTCCGGCAGTAAAGAGCCGAGGGGGCGGGCACATGCAACAAGCCCCACCCCCTGCTCCCAGCAGCCCTCAGTCAGAGCAAGCAGCAGCCAGGAAAGTTGAGAGCCCCCCCCCCCCCGGCCCAAAACAGTCCAGTGGCACCTTTAAGACTAAGTTTTATTCAGGAACAAGCTCTCCCTCCTCAGCGAGGACAGATCTGCACGTTCCCTCACCCAATAGCTAGGAATCCAAAATGGTCCAGTGGAGCCTGAGCAGTGGGTGTTGCCTTCTGACACACTTCCGGTGATGTCAGGGGTGTGTGTCATATGCAAATAAGTTATGCTAATGAGTTATGCTAATGAGCTCCTGGACCTCTTTTTCTACGAAATGACCCCTGGTTGCATGTAAAGCTGCATTCCAGAGGGGAAAGCAGAAACTTGGACTATGACTAAAAATCCTGCAGGAGCACCTCACAAGGAGAAATACAAGAAGAAAGGGAATCTATCCATCCTTTGTTTGTGCATCTCTATTCCCCATCTCTTCGATTTCATGAATTACTAGGTTTATTTTATTTATCTATCAAATTTATATCCTGTTCCCTCTCCCTCAAAAGGGACTCAGGGTGGCAAACAGCATATAAAATACACCAACAAAAACAATACAAAGATACAATAATCTTTAAAATATAAAACAGTTAAAAATCTATCCCCATTAAAATCTATCAAGCAGGGTAGGATGTGTGGATGGTTCCTAAACACATGTCCCTCTACTTCATCACATATCCTACTTCATTATACTTTATCTGTACCCTATGAGAGTCTGGAACCACTGATCTCTCTTTGTCATCCATTATGGGTGACAACCACATTGATTCCAATCTCTTATACAGGGAATTAGAAGAAGAGATTGGATTTATACCCCTCCCTTCACTACCCGAAGGAGTCTCCGAGTGTCTTACAATCCCCCTCCCTTCCCCTCCCCACTCCCTTCCTCTCCCCACAACAGACACCCTGTGAGATAGGTGGGGCTGAGAGAGCTCTTTCGAGAACTGCCCTTGAGAGAACAGCTCTGAAAGAACTTATGACTGACCCAAGGTCACACCAGCAGCTGCATGTGAAGGTGTGGGGAATCAAACCCAGTTCTCCCAGATTAGAGTCCGTGCTCTTAACCACTACACCAAACTGGCTGAAAGGTTTATGGTGGGATTCACACCAGGCCCTTCTCTCTGCCCCAACTCCTCTTCTTCTATAATTTTCCTCATAAAAATCTGAAAAATGCACCTAAAGAAGTGAGCTCCGATTCATGAAAGCTCATGCTGAAATAAATGTTATTAGTCTTTGAGATGCCACCGGACTTCTGATTAACTTTGCTAGAATAGATTAACATGGCTACTCTGGAACCTCCATTTCATAGCCACTTATCAACAATTCCACTGACAAGCTAGAGTTTGTTCATGACTAGCATGAACCTAATTAGGCTGATTCATTCTTTCCTTCCTTTCATGCATAGAGACTGAAAAGGATCTTCCTTCTAACACCAATTATTTGTTATATTTGAATTCAGGTGTCCTGAGTTTTATTTCTATTCAGTAACTGGAGGAAACTACCTACAAATAACCAGGTTTCTGCTTGTTCTTCTGATGACTGCCTTTCTATCTCTGCCCATATTTAGTAAGAACATCAGAAGAGCCCTGCTGGATCAGACCATTACTAGGCTGTATTTGAGTACTCCTTCTCAAGGATGAACTGTAATTCTGCACAGATTACAGAAAACCACCTGAAAATTTGAACTACAATGGATTGCCTGCACTCTAGACTAACAAACTGCAGTATACTCAAATGAGCACTTCTACCACAGGCACACCAGTATCAACCCAGAAAGGAGGAAAAAAGCTGCAAGCTGAATGCTCAAGGGTTGTGTGGATAACCTCACCGCATGATCCAGAAGGTGTGTTCAAATGATTTACCATGCATTCAACCCCAGTATTTTAATGCACACAGTTTTGTCCCCGTCACTGCTCCACCAGCTGTTAGCACAAACAAAATAACACTTGCTTTTATTGCAACACCAGGACCTAAATACCCAATGATGCAGTCATGGCTTCACAATGATGTGCTCAGATTTGGGCCATGTTTCAGCATCCTATTAAGGATTTCATAAAAGGCGTGCTTGCTGGAAAAGGAACAGTGTGTTCTAATGCAAGAACACCTTCGGATCCACGGCTTCTCCTCACAGAATTTTTGGAAAAAGGATTATTTTCACTCCTCCCAACTCAAGGCATTGTCATCCATTACAATGTCCTACGAAGCAGCAGGGAAAATTACTGCTGGCAGAATGTCTATCGCCTAGCTTGCTTTTGTAGGAGTCAATTAAAAAAATTATTCTATATAAATCATTTCACAAAGGCCCATGAAACTATCCAGATTCACAAAGCACACTGAAGAATGTGAAATCAGGAAACATTTCAACAACAGCTACAAGTGGAACTGTTTTGCTTTAGAAAACTCACAACGACTCGTTCATAGAAGGAAAAAGTGAAAAGTCTACAAGTGAGGAGTTCAGGAAACTCAAGGCATCTTGAGAGGTGAAATTTAATGAGGCTGTGTTGCTAGACTGGGGCTGGGAGGGGGGGGCGAGATGCCAAAAGCTTCTCTCCTAGAACACAGAAGACTTCTGGATGGAGGGCAGGGCATTATTTGTGTATTTTGCATTTTTGTATACCTGTACCCCCTGCATCTGCTCAGATACACATTAGTTTAGACTGTGGCCACAGAAAAGAGTTTTAGAAACCTGCAGGGATAACACCAGGATATTCACTGAAGGCTGGCACTAGGATGACAGAAGTGGTCTTCTGGCAGGAGTCTAACTATAGAGCTTGCCTATCTTGCATTTCTTACTATTCTGAACAACTGATAAGAAGCCGACAGTCGAGTCATCATCTCCCATGAGCTCGGGGCCTTCTTCCATTATAAATTCCTCATTGAAGCTTTATTTGTATGGTGCAATCTGAAAAGGAGTTGACAGACACCTAAGCGCTCTGTCAGAATATGGGGGGGGGATGACCAAATCCCATGCCCATTTTTGCCACACTATTTCTAGTTTTAGAGCAGGTTGCAGCTACCACAGATTTTCTCAAACTCTGCCACAGTCAGAAAAAGGCAGGGGTGACAAAAATCACTGTAAAGTGTCCTTGTGTAATAAAAGCAAGCGATTCAGCTGGCAGGGTCCATGCTTGCCTTGTCCCAGGGCATGTAGACAACAAGAGAGCCCTAGATAAGCATAAGAAATAGGCTGGATTCAGACAGCCAGTATATAAGCACAGTTCGATAAAGATGTGCACAAATGCAGCTAGTGCCAGGCTCATGCGCCTAGCTCTTCCTCCTTTCCATTTCCTTTCCTTTCTTGTACTGTGGTTTAAGACTAACTTTTCTTGTACTGTGGTTTAAGACTAAAGGTACTGTGGTTTAAGACTAACTCTGGCCCGGTCACACGGAGCAGTTGCCGTGCTAAAGATACAGATGATAGGCGGATTTTCCGGGCGCAATCACACCGCAACATCTGGAAAGCGTAGTGCTCCCGTGGCTAACTCGTGGCTTTCCGCTGAAGATGCGGAGTAAAAAACTAGTATTTACGAGGTACTGGTTTCCGGAAACCGCGGGGAAAGGGCGGGTGTCTGATCGCGTTTCTGGTGGAATTTTGTGGCATTAGGCGCCCACCAATGTTCTGTCGCAAACAAGGGTGTTTTTTTCTCCCCCAAGTCTCCGCAGGATGTGCAAAAGCCCCCAATGGTGCATGCGCACAAACTTCGGTTAAAAAAAAACCCCATTTGCCATGGAAGCGGCGCCTAGTGATTGCTGGTGTGATCGCGCCGCTTCTTTGCTGCGCTGCAGGATAGCCGTGTGATCGGCACCTCACCCCCTAACCATGGGACCTCGGCGGGACGTGTGATCGGGCGGCCGCGCATTATTTTGCTCCGGGGCAAACAGCCATGCTTCCCCCCCGCATTTTCCAGCCCGTGTGACCGGGACCTCTGATTATCTATGATGTACAACAAATAAAGGTGCCTAGCTTAACTGGAATTTCTTCCCCAGGATCTCAGGAGTAAACCTTGGTTAAGAATCCCAGTGCGTGCATTTACAGTGCGTGTGTGTTAACGAACTCCACTTGCCAAACTAGAATAAATTAACAATTTCAGGATAACTGACTCCCCCAATAGGGACATAGGATTCTTATCTCATTATAGATCTTAATTTTCTGCACTTCCCACTCCTACGCATACCTCCTGGTTCTAATGAAACTGATTACATGTTGCATTGCATCCTGACTCCAACTGGCCTTTCTTTGCAATACTCCTCCCACCTTTTGACCTGGATCCAAGGGTTGATGGAACTTGATTCTGTTTGTATCTGACAAACTGAGCTTTGGTTTGGGATAGCTTATATCCTGGAAAAAACTGTTGCTATTGGACTTGAACTTCTGTTCTGCTGCAGACTAGCATGGCTACCCACCTGAAACCACTCTGCCCATCAGCATTTTAAGCTATGGTGGGTTATAAGTGAAGTTAGCTTTAGGCCACCATTCTGTCATTGGGCTCAGGCAAGAAAGGGGGAGGATGAAAAGGGAGGAGCGAGACACATGCATGAGCCCAGGACCGATCATGTTCACACATATTTTCATTTACCTGTAGTTAAGCTGGATGTCTGAACTCTGCAAGAGACTGAGAAGCACAGTCTACTGAACTGCACATTTGCGCACTCTGCCTCCTAGCCCAATGAAGACACTCACTAGCAAGAGTTGGGGAGACAATCAGGCCTATCATTTGGGCAACTGTCCATACCTGTCCAGAGATGTTTCATTCTTTAAAATTCATTGACTTGGCTCACACCTACAGTTTCTCCTCCATAAGCCATGTGTACCTTCCCAACTCCAGTATGATAAGTACTTCAGATAACATTCCTCAGATGCAGTTTGCAGTTTTATTTTTGTTTGTCCTACAGAATGATACAGCCTGCCTCTGTTTCTTATTACTTCAGTCTTCTGTGTACTGTGTCACCAAGCCAACTCATATAGACCTTTGTGAACTGGCAGCTATGTTTTTTATAAGCTAAAAAATCTACAGCTGTCACAGGTTTGATGAATTATGCAAACAGGTCGTGACTACTTGGCAACAAATTCTTAACTTACAATGATGAGAGTTTGACAGGGCAAAACGTTTTCTCAGTGAAGCTATAATAATTCAGTTCCTGGCTGGTTGCAACTTGTTCTTCCGCAGTGACTATTTTTAACTGGGCAAGTACTACCAACTTGTTTGTTTAATGACAAACTCTGGAAATAAATTCCAGGATATTTCTTAATAATATCGCAGGAGAGGGTTACCTAGTACAGGACATTCCTTAGCTCCTTGAAACTAAAATATAATGTTGGAATAAGTTACCAACTGTCAAGGCTCACCTTGGTCTGAGAGATTTATTCCCCTGTCTCTGACCTGAGACCCTGGAACAAGTCCCACTGAAATAATGTAGACAAGTCTACCCTGGGTTTGGTCTGGCAACTCATAGCAACACTCCTTAGAGTAAAATAGAAGTATTATGGAAGCTGAAGAAAAAGGTTTTAAAAGCAATATAATTGCAGCGGCAGTTCCAAATACAATGAAAATAAGAAAACTCTCTCTCTAGATAAACTTACAAGTCTTAGCAGCATAGGTCTTAACTTCTCATAGCTTTAGCAAACTCAATTCCTAGCAAGCAGCATACCTCCATGTAGGTGTGGCATCAGGTAACACTGAGAGGACCAGGGAGATGGAATAGCGGGAAAGACTGTGGCCTACCACCATAGACTATATTTTATAGAAACGTGGGCCACAGACCTCCTGAGCCTCTTCAACCAATCATTGGGCTGTTTCTGAGGGAGATTCTGGATAAGAGCAAGCTCTCTCACCCTCCCAACCACATCCAGCTGAAAGGAGTATCACATCCCTGCTGAGTTCCCTTCCCTGGCACTGTCCCAAAATCTCCCTGATTTTCCCCAGCTGGAGTTAAAACTCTAGTTGTAATAGGGTTATGACAAAGGCTGCAGTCACACTTATGGATCAACTAGCAGTAAAGCCCGTTGTGCAAATAAATACAACGGGGATCTAGAAAGAGGCTCTGGGGCAGTCCTCTGGCTTTGGCCAAACAGTGTCAAGTTGCTGTGATGACCTCAGCAGGGTATAATGACAGAGTCCACTGTTTTCTCCAGAGGAACTGATCCTCTGAGGGGGGGAGGGGGGAGAAGGCCCAATCGGAGCCTCTAGGCTGCGATCGGGGCCTGCCTGTGGGCGGGAGGG